TTATACCGCATAAACACATTGCATTACACCAAATACACAACATAATGTTCTTTTTAGCAACGTCATACATATTTTGTAAATGACGTTCGCTAGATTTGTCTGAATAATAGTAACTGAATAAACATAATGACGTAACTTAGCACATTGTTTCTCTGTACAAAGTATCCGGTAATGTGCCAGAGATTTTCTCAGAATTTTCTAGCAACACTAATGTAAAACTTATCAGACTTGCATAAGGAAGCTGAAATCCTCCCATCATTGTTTTCATCATGCTTGTTTACTCACCTGGTATGTTCTTCAGGGTATAAGATGTTGACAGTCAGCGCTCTCTGGATGACTGGAGACTTTGAGAGAGAGGAGGAGTACAGCAGCTCACACAGGAGGAAGCGTCGATCTTCTCCATGAGGAGACTGCAGAGAGAGGCGTGTGATTTCAAGAGGCAGGGTTGAACCCTTTTTGTTCAACAATGAGTCCACAATGACCAAAGAAAAGTTTAGCTTAAAGGAATAGTTCACTCAGTATGAAGCTCATCGTTTACTCCCCTCATGTCGTCCCAAACACATAACTTTCTGTCAACTCTTAAAGCAAACCTTTTAATACAACAGATCATAGTAACCATGTCTATCAAGCTCCAAAGTGGAAAAAAACACCCCTTATGAAAAAGAAGTACATGCTTTTAGAAAGAGCACTTGTTGCAGATATAATATACGTTAAAAGAATATACCTAATGTGAACTGAATGCATGTTTTAGACACTTAACTGCATGTTATTTACAATTAAATATAAATTAATTATAGCTTAATTTTATATTAAAATAGCTGAACTTAAGAGTGATTCTTGACCCACTTAAGTAGGACTTAAGTACATCTTTATATGTAATTTCATAATTACTTCTATTGTTTATTGATATGCTTAAGTGCTATTGCTGAATGTACCGACAAGCATTTATGATAAACTAAAATATACTTTAATTTTATTTCTATTGAAACTTGTATGTATTTAAATATATTTACAATGACGCACTTGTAAAGATGAAGTTGTAATTTAGTGCATTTAATGTATATTAACATTAAATATAATATTGAATAACACAGTTAAAATTATAATCAAGTACTTCATGTGCTTTAGTATGTTAGTCAACACATCAAAATAAGTGTATTCTTTAAAACATGACAAAAGATTAATAAAACGAAAAGGTTTTAAAATGTACTTTATAGTAAAACCTTTAATTTTACATTATTACAATTTTTGTAAAGGTGTACTTCAGTGTGTGTAGAAACATAGTCATGACACAGAGCTATCATATGACATAGGAAGACATGGAACTAGTCATATGATATTTTAATGGTGTTTCTGGAGCCTGATGGAAGTGGTCGCTCTGAACTGTCATTGTATGGAAAGGCTGTTAGATTAAAGACTCATGAAAAACATTTTTAGGTGTTTCTCTTTTCAAGGTTTTATGCACTGCATGTTGTCAAGTAAATTTCTGTGAATGATTTATTTGAAAAGTTCTCTGACACTGATGTGTTCCGGCTTTGAACTCTTTCTTAACAACTTCTCTGCCAAGAGTCCAGCTCCATGGTCACTTGTTAAGATCTGCTCCTCCAAGGCCTCGCAGTGAGAGCTGTCAGCATTTATAATATCCTTGAACGGCATGGAGTGTGAATCAGTCGTAACCCACAGTGTTTGGAGTTTGTAAGCACACAAAGAATGTTGAGGCTAGAGAAGATAATTTCAGAAGAAACAATTCCCAAAAAACCTAAAACAGTCCAGTGTGAGACACAGCAGAATTAGCTCATATTATGAGCAACTTTGTAGTGTAAGTTTTACAATGCCGTACTGTAAAAATATCCTGTCATATCAGAAAAAGACAACTGGCAGCTGTGTAAACATATTTACACAAACTGTACATTTCACAGTTTAATATTGTAAATGACAAAAAAAGTGAAATTTTCTGCTGAATTATCAAGGCTACAATGATATTAAACTCTGTTTTTACCTTTATAATATACCGACAATCACCTTAAAAACACAGGTTGCAAAGAGAAAAACACACGATTAATCAAAACTCATCACGAGTAGCTTTTCCAAAAGCTGAGATAAAAACTAATATATAGAAGCCTAACCCTAACAAACAAAACACCATCAAAACACTCAAATAAATAATGCAATGAACATTCATTTATTTAACAAGACGTAACACAAAACCCGAATGCGCATATCTGATAACAAATAATTAAGAAACAGTAATTTAAATGAAAAAACATTAAATGTGAGCTGTCACACAGGGAATTCTGGGAATGTCAGTTTGCAGTTTTTTCTACCGTAAATTAAAAGATGGCTTGTTCTTTTTCACTTCCAAAAACTGTAAATATAACACATTTAATGTAAAATTTTTTACAGTAAAATTCTGTCTTACAATTTTTCAGCATATATGCACACACACACACACACACACACACACATA